ATTACTAAAAAAAAAAAAAAATTAATTGCGGTTGTATTGGTCCATAGACCCGATTCATCATCTGCCCATGTTCTCTGCTGCCATGGCCAGGCATAGATATGAGAGTATAATGTGTTTTATGCATTTCAGCGACAACACACTCGGTCGTCCTTTGGGTGACCCTCAATTCGACCGGCTCCACAAAATTCAGCCCTTCGTAAATCACCTTAACCAAAAATGTGCAGATGTCTATATTCCCCACCAACACATCTGCATTGATGAGTCCCTCAGAAATTTTTCTGGCCACCTTGCATTCAAACAATTTCTCCCCAGCAAGTGTGCCAGATATGGGGTCAAGATGTATAAGACCTGTGAGAGGGCAACATGCTATACAAATAAGTTTCGGATTTACGAGGGAAAAGATAGTCACGTGGAGCCCCCCGGATGCCCTGACTACATGGAGAGCAGTGGCAAGATAGTTTGAGACTTGGTGTCCTCCTTTTTCCATATGGGATACCACTTATACGTGGACACATTTTATTCAAGCATACCACTATTTAGACATTTGTACAATCTTGGAATTGGCACATGTGGCACCGTGTGACCTAATGTGTCCCCACCATTAGAAGTGAGTGGATGCAGGGCAGTATATTCTAATGATGGGCATGCCACACACTTTTTCTGGCAGAGATTTCTTCGGGATGTCTCTTTGCTGGACAGGGATGTCCCTTCTTGGACTAGGCTGTCTCTTTGCTGGACCCAATCGAGCAGAGACAGCCCAGTCCAGCAAAGAGACATCCAGAGAGAGAGAATTGTGCATTTTGACCAACACCCCATGTTTGATTTGTGTGTTGCTGTAATTGTTGTGCATTTGTCTCTCAAAAGTGGGTTTTTGTGCACATGGATTCAATTTTGTGTGCATTTCTTCCAGTCTGACCATGCATTTATTGTTTGTGAGCATCTGCTGACCCTTGTTACTAACAAATGTCAATTGTTCTACTCCTACAACTCCTAACTTTGATATAATTTTCTTAATAATGTAGACAGAAATGCAGTTTTCTGCTTACCATAATCAGAAATGTATATGTGTGGGAACTGGGGAGTGGGTGTTTACTGCTATGCTGTGGTGTTTTTTTTTTTTTTATATAGTTTTGTTTTTGAGAATCTTACACCTAACAAATTGATGGGGTGGTGACATTTGTTGTATCTTGTAAAATGTGTTGCCTGGTTAATAGCCTTATTTTGTTCCCAGCTGTACACTGTGAAAGTTAAGTTGTAATGCCTTTTTTGACTGTAAGCTCCTATGAGCAGAGCCCTTCAAACTCTCTTGTAAAGTGCTGTGTAAAATGTAGTACCATAAATACTGTTTCTTTTTACATAAGTAAATGAATGTACTGAATTGTGTTGCTGCTGTCAAAATAAATGTATGAACTATTTACAGGGCTGTAGATATTTTTTTTTCTTGCAGCTGAGCTGCATTTTTACTGCCCACCACCACCACCTTCTTCCCCTTGAAGGAAGAGAGGGGTGGATGGAAGAAAGGAAGGGTGGGTGGAAGGAAGGGGTGATTGAAAAGAAGGAAGGGTGGGTGAAAGGAAGGAAGGGGTGATTGGAAGGAAGAGGTGGGTGGAAGGAAGGGAGGGGTGGAAGGAAGGAAGGGATTAGATGGAAGGAAGGGTGGGAAGGAAGGAAGGAAAGGAGGGGTGGGTGGAAGGAAGTGGTGGGTGGAAAGATGGAAGGGAGGGGTGGGTGGAAGGATGAGGTGATTGGAAAGAGGAAGGAGTGGGTGGAAGGAAGCGAGAAAGAGGTGGATGGAAGGAAGGGGTGGGTTGGTGGGGGGGAAGGAAGGAAGGAAGGAAGGAAGGAAGGGGTGGTTGGAAGGAAGGGTGTTTGGATGGAAAGAAGGGTGTTTCGATGGAAGGGAGGGGGAGAGGTGGGTGGAAGGAAGGGAGGGGGAGAGGTGGGTGGAAGGAAGGGGTGGATGGAAGGGAGGGGGAGAGGTGGTGGAAGGAAAGAAGGGGTGGGTGGAAGAAAGGGAGGTGTGGGTGGATGGAAGGAGGGGGGGGAGAGGTGGGTGGATGGAAGGAAGGGAGGGAGAGGTGGGTGGAAGGAAGGAAGGGAGGGGGAGAGGTGGGTGGAAGGAAGGGGTGGAAAGGAAGGAAGGAAGGAGTGGGTGGAAGGAATGGAGGGGTGGAAGGAAGGGAGGAGTGTGTGGGTGGAAGGAAGAAAGAGAGGGGTGGGTAGGTAGTAGGAAGGAAGGGAGGGGTGGAAGGAAGGAAAAAGTGGACGAAAAAGGAAGGAAGGAAGGGAGGAGTGGATGAAAGGAAGGAAGGGTGGGTGGAAGGAAAGATGAAATGGAGGGAGGGAGGGGTGGAAGGAAGGAAGGTTAGGTCAGACTCACCGTGAGTCCTTCAGAAGCATTAGAGCTGTCAGCTACTCTGTGTTCAAGTTCCCGCCCACACTTCCTCTGAAGCTGCACAGACTAGAGTGTGGCACAGGGGGGAGGCAGATCAGTTCCAGCCTCTCTCCCCTCTTCTCCTATTGGTGTGGAAGATGGAGGGAGGGGCTGGACAGTGAGAAGAACGCAGCGGTGGGAACACAGTGGCGGTGGGAGGGAGGAGGGGGGGGGGGAGCTAGAAAGAAAACTGAACTGTTCTGTGCAGCAGTGGGGGGGTGGTGACAAGCAGAGATCTCCTGTGTGGCTTTCAATAAAGCAGCTGAAAGCCGCTTCTCTTGCTCTCCCTCCTACAGCTTCCATCTGTTTTATTGAAAGCCATACAGGAGATTGTCTCTATCCCTTTATTGAGTTCCATGTTCCACCTCTGCACATGGCAGCTGACAGCTACAGATGTGGCATGCATCCACAGAAAAAAGATAGCCAGATGGCAAGCCACTCCCCTCTGCTCCCTGCACTGTCCACTTTAAACTGACATAACAGTATAAATTTGTCTTGGTGTTTATATACACATACTGAGCAAACTATGTACTAGCCAGTATTCATTTATTAAGAATTCAGTAATTAGAAAAGGTAGCATTTACAACTACTTTAAAACAAAGAACAGTAAGTCCTCTACTTACAAACATTCGAGTTGCGAACTTTCAAAGATACGAACAACCTCCAAGTTGCGAACTTTCAAAGATGCGAACAGGCATTTACATGCCAAATCACGAAAGTAGCTCACGTGTCTGCCGGACATTGTCAGCTGCATGCACCCTCAGCCACAAGCGGTTGTTCTGCTGTGTACTGTATAGTACAATAACGTACAGTAGTACTGTGTTGATTCAAGCCTAGGATGTGTGGAAGCAAGCATAAAAGCAGCGGTCTTGTCTGGTCACTCCATGCCAGCCCGTGTGTGTCAGCTGTTGTACTGTACTACTGTACCTTTCAAGGTACTGTAAGACTAAACATCCTTTCTTTATAGTATTTCTTGTGTTTGTTTTTTATGCATTATTTGTGTGAAAGTATTATAAAGCTTGCTTTGTTGGACTTGCATACAAATTGGACTTAAGAACGAACTCCCAGAATGGAACTCACTCGTAAGTAGGGGACTTGCTGTATGGTATTAAAAAAAAAAAAAAAAATCATACCTCACCTAAATTGCTGCAGCACCGATTCCAGCTGCAGCTGTCCTCACCAGCTCTACCCTGAGAAATAAGCAAATACCAGTGTTTGCTCATTCATTCCCTTCCCTGTTCTGACCAGTGACTGTCAGTCTCCGGTTCTCTGCTCTGCCCCTCCAGAGCTCACTGAAGTGCTGGGCTGTGGAGGGGCTGGCTCAGGCTCTCAGGGGCACAAGCCAACTACCGTTCCCGTCTGTAGAGTTGGTATCTTTCCTGAGCCTGGACCGGCTGAGTGACGTCAGCCGACAGAGGGCTTTAGCTTGCAGTCAGCTGAAAACGGGTCACATGACTGCAGAACAAACTGTGATCCTGATTTCCAAAGGAGAATGTAGCCAAAATAGTTTTGGCTATACCTCTCCTTTAAATTAAAATATAGAGCACAGCAAATATCCTGATTTAAGCTGGTTTGATTATATGGCATGGCACACACACGTTTGGTTTACTCAGCCTGAATTCTGGACCTTTCACAAATCCAAACAAGCACAACAAATATCTGATTCATTTTGCTTTAATGTTACATTAAAAATCAATATTTTAGGATTCAAGTAAAACATTATCTGAAGGTGCAAATACAAAAGTTTTATTCAGAGCATGTTCTATCGCTTGAAGTTGTTCTTTTTACAGTATGAGGGTAATAAGGTACACACACGCAGTTGAAAAGTGTTTTCAGGGTAGACAGAAATGGATGGAAGGTAAAGTGCAACAGATCCACAGTGCTTTGTTCATCTGGGAAGTAGGAGAACCAATCACATCCAAGTAACATAACAGCCATGTTGGAGATGCCAAGAGTCTTAATGCATTACGTCTTCGGATAGGTGGAGGATTTTTGCACACATAGTGTTGGTAGAGGTTAAAAAATGCAGTCTTATCGGCTTTATAGAAATCTCATTTCTGCTGAAGAGTTTAACACCTTTATATCAGACCAAGTTCAGTCATAAGCAGATAATCCTTTAAGTGCTTGAATAATACTGCCCCAAATGGTATATTCTCGACAGAGATACAGAGAACAGAGTTCAGGCCAAATGTGGCTTTATGCTCGGGAGATTTAAACTTGCAATAGCAGGATCTTAACAGTCACTGGGACTTGCTCAATGAAAAGCATAACACACTTCATAATGTCAGACCTGCTGCATGGTAACCAACTACTGCAACTATCATCAACCGTGGCTGACTTCATGTTTTTTTTTTTTGTTTTTTTTTTTTTTTGAAGATGGGAGTGTGATTTTTTTTTTCTTTTACAATTTTGTAGTTTCTCATTTTAACACTATGATAAAAAGAAAAAAAAAATAAGCCAAATTCCCACCAGCTGTAGAAAATAGGAGGCAGCATCCTAACCAGTGTTCACAATAATCTGTGTAGAAAATGCATACAGAAGGCGTTTGTTCTTGCAGTGTGTTCAATCAATTGCTGCAGCAGCCACTTCTGGGTTGTTGATCCGAGCCCTGGAGATTTACGCCTCTGTTGCGGGCAGCGTGGGTTGGATTCTGGGCATCGGATTTCGGCATTTTCTTTGCTATAGAAAGAGAAAACAGAAGATATTTATATAAATATGATCTTTTGAAAGGATCAGGTGTCAGATGCAAGTTACTTATAATACAAAGCTAATCACTTATATAGTAAGTCTGGCTGAAAAAAGACTGTCTAGTTCAACCCACATAGAGGGGGAAAAGAAAAAAAGTGCTACCATGCTGACACTCATTGTACTTACTCCTACAAATCAACATGGGCCTCAGACACAAACGTGTCTGAAGGAAGAACAATTCTTATTGCCTGCAGTAAATATACTTTCCCGCGTTTCCTAATAATTTACTATAGGAGTATAAAAGAGACAATCTGACTGCTTTGAATAATAGAACTGATCTTTCTTTAATGTTATATCCATGAGCATTAAAAAAAACAAAATTAAGTGTATGTAAACTCAAGAACAAACATGTAATATATTGCAGAGTTCGTGTGGTGACTGCATTAATTTTTCTTTGTTCAGGCCTATATTTTCACATGATAATCCTGCCAGTACAAACGTCCTGTCCTACAAAGACAATGCCTACTGACTGTACCATATTTAGGAACAGGAAGTGTGAACTACAGAACATCTCATCCTCATCTCCTCAACATAAGGGAGTTTGGAGTCTACAGAGGTGAACTGGGCAGCACTGATAAAACTGCTTAAAATAGAAATCCATGTTTCATTTGACTTTACATAGTTTGTTTGGGCCAAGCTGGCCTGAACATAATATTTCCATCACTGAGCGATGCAGTGGCTATGCGTGCTGCAACATACTGTAGTAGCATTAGCTATATACAGTAAGCGGTGTTGTGCTCCGGCGCTTGTGTTGGCCTACTTGACCCATTATGACCCAATATTTAAAAAAAAATGTAGAAAGTCAAATGAAACCTTGAATTCTTTTTTAAGATTTCAAAGCATCATTAGCAGAGAGAACTTTTTTGCCCTAAACGGATATAACAAAACACGTTTTAATGGTATATTTAAACTTTAATGAACAAGCAGGAATTTTAAGGCAGAAGAGACATTAACCACTTGCCTACTGGGCACTTATACCCCCGTCCTGCCCAGGCCAATTTTCAGCTTTCAGTGCTGTCGCACTTTGAATGACAATTGCGTGGTCATGCAAGATTGTACCCATATGAAATTTTTATAATTTGTTTCTCATAAATAGAGCTTTCTTTTGGTGGTATTTAATCACCGCTGAGTGTTTTACTTTTTGCGCTATAAACAAAAAAATTGCAAAAAATTTGAAAGAAAAAAAAAAAAAAAAAAAAAAGGTTCTTTATTTCTATTATACAATTTTGCAAACAGGTAATTTTTCTCCTATCCTGATGTGCGTTGATGAGGCAGCACTGATGGGCACCGATAGGCACACTGATGCGCACTGATAGGCAACACTGATGGGCACTGATAGGCAACACTGATGGGCACTGATAGGCGGCACGGATAGGTGGCACTAAAAGGGGGCACTGAGGTGGCACTGCTGGGCATTGACTGGCACAACTGCTGGGCACTGACTGGTGTCACTGACTGGCAGCACTGCTGGGCTGCACTGCTGGGCACTGGTGGGTGGCACTGATGGGCACAGGTGGTGTGGCACTGATGGGCACAGGTGCGCGGCACTGATGGGCACAGGTGCGCGGCTGAACTGGTGAGTGGCACCTGCTCTGACAACTGGGCACTGAACTTTCCCTCAGTGACAGCGTGATGAAATCAGTGAGAACCGATGCATTTCCCTGTGATGCTCTGACACGGCTGATAACAACTGCCCGGTTCTCACGGCAGTACTTTAGGACCAGCGATCACGGAGATCGCCGGGGGCGCTCTGACAGCGTGAGGAAAGCCTCCCAGAACTTGCCAGCCGAGAACCGGCAATTGCATTTAATCTGTTCTGTAAAGATCAGCCGTGTCTGTACATTGGACATGCTGATAACGCAATGCCCAGGTAAAAGGCCGCTGTGATTGGCTACCCTTTACCACATCACGTATCAGCTGTCTCTGTAGGACACAGCGATCACGGAGATCGCACAGTAAAGGGGGCTTAAAAAAAAAAAAAAAAAAAAAAAAAGCAAATAAGCAGAGAGGCATTATAATGCGTTCATTTTTTGGATGCGCGGACGGCTCCTGGATAGACGAGCTGTAATCTCCGCTCCGTCCACCCGCCAGACTTAGCACGGCACACCCCCAGCCCCGAGGGATATAAACATCACATTCTGACAGCTAACAGGTGCACAACCCTCACCAGTGATGCCCCGCCGCCGCAAAACCCCTGTACAGCCAGGGAAATTAACACATTTCTTCCCTGCTGTCACAGCAGGGATCCAAGATGGCACTGGCTGCAGCAATGAAGGACGCAGCAATGAAGGACACAGCAGCCATGAGGGGGACAACACAGCCCAGCAAGCAGATGCCAGGCTGCGATACCCGCTATACCCTGGGGAGTCATCTCCTCCCCTATCCTCTACTACAAGCAGCCCATCCAAATCCAGACCCCGTCTGGATTCAGACCACACATCTGCCTACAAGACCCTCATCCATCCATCACCTCACCACAGCACTGACCCACCAGTGATAGAATCGTTCCCTGCATCTGACCAGCCTATCACCGAAATATGCATGAAAAACATGCTCCTTTCGCTCAAACACTGCATAGTGATTTAACGTCATCACTAGCCCAGATTACAACCGTGGTTCAACAACAAGAACACAGATTACGCCATATTGAAACAAGAATGGGAGAAATAATTATAGCACATAACGACCTAATTGACCCACATGCTGACCATACTTCTGACATCGAACAAATAAATTTGAAACTAGCAGATTTAGAAGATCGCTCAAGACACAATAACATCAAATTTAGAGGTATTCCTGAAAATGTCACCAACGAGGCACTTCTACCCTACATCCAGCAATATAAGAAACACCTCATCCCAACTCTCTCAGATATGGAGATTGCCATAGACCAAGCTCACAGAATACCCAAACCGTCATTCCAGTCAGCATCAATCCCTAGAGATGTTCTGGCTGGCATCCACTTTTACCACATAAAGGAAAAGATAATGTTGGCAGCCAGAAACCCCCCTCCACTCCCGCTATCACATGCAAATATCAGATTATTTCGCAGACCTATCAAAAGCCACGCTCCTTAACCGTAAAAAGTTGGTCACCATCACCAAAGCCTTACGAAACCACGGAATAGGCTACCAATGGGGTTTCCCCACAAAAATAACCGTCAAACATCAGGGCAAAATCTACACAATTAAAAACCTAGAAGCGGGCATTGACCTATTGAAGACATGGAACATAATACCCATGGATCCCCAACAATCCACCTCTACTAATATGCAACAAATGGAAGCAGAATGACTCGGACATAGCACACCTCCAATCCACTTCCAACACTTCACCTCGGACACTATATCCCATCCTACTAATCTCTGGCGATCGGCCCTGTTTAGAAAATATTCACGTTACAAGAAACTGTTTGGCATGACCTCCTTTACGGTCAATGCTTGTTTAAACCCCCCGGTTTTGAAGTAGCACACCAAGCTACTGACGTCATTTGCATTTTACGCAAGTTTTTTTTATCCCCTTTCACCTCCTTCACCTCCTCCTCCTCCTGCACCACCATTCGACCAAGTGTACCACCGGTTCAACTGAATCCTGCAAATAAACATGGAATACACCCCCTGATTCTTCGATCGAGCCAATTCCGCGCTACCAAGGCTACAGAATTCTCCCTTTCACGACCATATCCATCCAACTTCGTTCAACATCTCAAACAACAACTCAACTACTCCACTAACCAAACCAAGGACCTACATTATGATTAACATAACATCTCTAAATGTTTGTGGCTTAAACTCCCCTTTCAAGAGATCGATGCTCCAAAAGGAAACTCAGACATTTCATGCCGACATACTCTTCCTACAGAAAACACATTTCACAACAACCAAGACCCCCAAACTACAGCTGCATCGATTCTCCCACATCTATATGGCCACTAACTCCAAGAAAAAAAATGGTGTTATTACAGCTATAAAGGCCTCCACACAGTTCCACCACATCTCAGAAATAGCTGACCCTCAAGGTCGCTATCATATTTTAATCTGCAAAATCAACACTATCCCCTATACTCTAGTAAATGTCTACGGTCCCAACAGCAACCAGATGCAATTCTACTATAAACTCCACAACATCATCTCTTCTCAAAAACATGGCAGGCTTCTCATTGGCGGAGACTTCAACGTCATCGGCAACCCACTTCTAGACTCGTCTTCCAACAAAAGATCCCCCAAACAGAATTTCAACCGTTTCCTACATGATCACGACCTTTACGATATTTGGAGATGCCAACACAGCACCGAAAGAGACTACACCTACTACTCCAATTCTCATTTTATCCTACTCCAGAATCAACTTTTTTATTAAGGAAAAATAGACTCTACAACACGTAATGTCATCCAAAATTGGCACCATAACCTGGTCAGACCATGCTCCAATCAACATAATCTTAGACGACATTCAACGTTCTGCAATTCCTCCCATCTGGAGACTGAATTCTACAATATTAAAGAACTCAGATAACCAGAAATACCTGTTAGAAGCCCAAAACCTATTCTTTGAATTTAATGCTGCGCCTGATATCTCTATAACCACATTGTGGCCCGCTTACAAAGCATACATGAGAGGTATTCTCATACAACTAAATTCCCGAATCACTAAACTAAGATCCTAACAAATTGACCAACTTCTAACATCCATAAAACTAACGAAGAAATTAACAAAAAAAAACCCAAGCACCTCCACATCTGCATCTCTTACCTCAGACAGAAACAAACTCCGAACCCTCTTACTCTACAAATATGACATCAACCTTCAAAAAACGAAATCCCAATTTTATTCCCTAGCTAACAAGGCAAACTCACTATTAACAAAAATAATCAAAAGGCGTCTTAAATCTAAAATCTCTTTAATTCAACACCCAACAACTCACACATCGCTTACGGATCCGCAAGACATAGCTAACGCTTTTGCAACCTACTACCAAACTCTGTACAATATCAAAGATGACCCGGACACAACCCAACCAACAACACTATCCATACATTGTATGATTACAAATCCATACAAAATCACTCCAAACGATCCGTACACATCTTCAAAATTACTCGGAAGTATCATACTATAAACTCAATGAGCCCAAATCCTCTATCCTAAATCTCCATACGCCCACTTCAGATCCAGGAAGTACTGATCCAACACTTCCCCTTCTCCTGGGAACACCACAGCATCCCTTACTTAGGAATTAAACTCACCACTACGACAGATCAACTATACGTCTCAAACCACAAACTATTACTCGAATCCATCCCACAAGAACTTAAAAACCTTTCGCACGTCAACACTATCGAAACTGGGAAGAGTAGCTACCCTGAAAATGTGCATACTGTCTAAAATCCTTTATGTACTACAAATTTCCTAATACACCCAACTTCGAGAGGAGGAGCAGGTCTCCCACACTTAAAATCATACTATATTGCCACACTTCTAGACCAACGCTATTTTTGGTGGCACCCAACTAACGAAAAAACATGGACTACCATGGAAACACTCCCGCATCTCCCATCTACATCACGTAACATACTGTTCTTGCCACAATCATCTCAATCCAAAAGTCTACCCAAACATCCATGCATTCAAGCCTCCCTACAAGCTTGGTATGACCTCTTAACATCCAACCCGGCAGATACCAAATACCTACCCCAATCACCACTATACACTTCATTATCCCCTCTTTAAAACTACTACAGTGGGAAAATCGAGGTATATCCCTTATACAAGACTTCTATACAAACCACAAATTAGACTCCTTCTCGACCCTCCAGGAAAAATTTCACCTCCCTGACAATGAAAACTTCAGCTACATGAGAATAGCTCACTCCCTACAAAAAATAAACGTTCCACATATTTTGAAAATTCCTACTACTGCACATCAATTTCTTAACAAAACACAATACCCAAAGAAAGGGATTTCGACTTTCTACACACTCATAACCAGATCACAATTCACCCTACAAACTACCTCTATATCTAACTGGGAGAAACTTCTCTCACAACCAATACAACCCCACACATGGGAAAGAACCTTCAACATCACCCACAAAGCATCTAGATGTAGCTCCCACTGGGAATCATATATGAAAATTTTACACCAGTGGTATTTTACACCTGTTAAACTCTCTTTATATTACCCTCAACACTCATCCACTTGTTGGAGACAATGCGGAGACACAGGATCAACTCTACATATACTTTGGACATGCAAATCTCTCAGATCATACTGCAACAGCGTCTTCCAATTGATCTCAACAGTCGCTGGAGCCCCAGTGGCTCCAAACCCTGCTCGTGCACTTATCCACATAGGAATGGACAAATTCCCTAACGACTCTCACACCATCATTATCCACACATTAGCAGCTGCTAAAACCAACACTACTAAATTATGGAAATCTTCCAAAATTCCTTCTCTCTCTGCCCTTATAATAGACCTCAACTTCTAATGCGATATGGAAAGAAGATCAGCCCTCAACAACTCTTCCCATCACAAGTTCAAATACCAATCGTCTCGATGGCTAGAGAACCCAAACTGCTCCATAAAATAATATTTATATAAATATATAATACTAAGGCCCTATGCCCTAGACTGGTGTCCTCGTCACCCCCCCCCCCCCCCCCCTTTACAAGAGAAGTCAGGACCGAACAGCCTTTTTACACAGTGCAGAGGATTAACCCCTTAGGTTCCACAGTGAATATATCAAGCATGGTTTACTGAATATACAGACTGATTTTACTGTTGTGCGTTTAGTAACACTTTAAGGAGATATTTGTCCTGTTTACCATAATCATTGAAGGTAATAGAATATCCCAAATATTGGGTTGTCCCAAGAAAAGTAATAGAGGGGAAATCTTGCAATTGAGACACTAGTTCTGGTGACCTTTGGGTCCCCAAGGAATTACTTTCATTTGCAGGGATTCCCTCTCACTTCTTGTTTGGTTATGGGGCAGAAAGTGAAGGAAAATCTCTGCAATGGGACACAAATGGTGAAAAAAAAAATCTGAATGGGGTTATAACCCTCCCTTGCTCTATCCAAAATGAAAAAAAAAATGCCGACGTTCTCCTTTAAGTCAACATAAATCTGCTAGTGCATCTAACACTACTCTCTACACTACCCTATTAATAATGCTGTTATCCAAAAGATGTCTCCGTTCCTATTTCATTTAGAGTGGAGAAACCCTAAGACAAGAAGTGTGTTACTGGCTGGATCACCAGGTGAAAATAAAGGGGGAAAAAAAAAAAACTTAAAAGGAAAAGGTCACCTTTCCAGAAAAAATAATAAATACAAATATTTCTGCATTCAGGAAACTGTGAATGAATTATGTAGCTGTGTGAGCAGAGCCCCGCACAGCTGCACTCCAAAAGTGACTGTGTGTGTGGAGAAGATTCCCCCACCCGTTGTCACATAGAGGAGGGATTGGCGGAACTTGAACATGTTTCATGTTCCACCCTCAAAACGGGTGGAAAATGTAACATGTTCCAAAAGGTGAATTTATCCTTTAAAAAAAGAAAACAAATGCAGCCACTTAGTGAGCTGCAAGACATTTGTTTTGTTTTTGAGTTTAACTCTTGTTTACTGCTTTAATTCTATGACTGTTTTGCTCCCCTGAAATGTATAACAAGCATTCTGTGGTTTTGCAGTAAAACCTACCAATTGCTAAAAACAACTCATTCACGTTCATTGCTGTTTTTGCTGATGTCTCCATGAATAACAAGCTTGTGTCCTCTGCATATGACTGAGCCTCCTAAAAGAAAATGGATACAGTTATTAGATTCATCTAGAAAAATAATTTTTTCTGACTTGTATATTCCAAGATTTACTTATTTGGTTAACTCAAACATTAAAGCTAAACACCAAGTAATTTGGTTTTGAAAAAAAGGACTACATGTTTGCCAGGTTATACTGTATCTTGCACACGAAAATGAGACTCTCTTGATATATTATCCGTAAAGTCCAACAAAGAAGATGTCCCAAATGCCGCACACCAGCATACCCAACAGTCACTTGAGAGGAAGCAGCCTCAGCCCAGTTCCATCCAGGCAACACCCCCATATCTTGGACCAATGTAACTATATGTACACCATACCTGGCCAATGACCTTGGAATCAGGAAATCTCTGAAACAGACACTGCTACTCCAGTGATCTTTACTTGCTCCTCTGTTGTCCAACAGCTGATCTGGGTCCAGGCTGTGTTGCTCAGCTGCAGTGTATGGGGAGGTTCCAGGGAATGCAGGACCTGGCTGTGCTGTCTGGATCATAAGACTGGCTCAATATACTTACTAATCTGTTGAAAGGGAAAACCACTAATTTGTATGTATTTGCCTGGAGTTTGGATTCAAATGCCTTTACATAAGGGCATGTAATTTATTCTGAAATTAATTATCTGGTTGTAAGCTGTGAAAAAGAGGGAGCCGAACTATAATCAACTGCAACCAGATACTAAACAGCTAAGATTTAGCAGTGTGATTACTTGACACATTACAATTAAAGTGGAAGTTCCGTCAAAATCTAACTAAGGCTAAATCTATTCCCACCCCTATTCTAAGACTATTCTATCTATCCTGTGAAAGAAAAGATCTGTATACTTACCTATTCTGAAGCTGCTCCAGCCTGGCCACATGATCTCATCAGTGCCAGCTTCAGTAGAGGAGAGATCGCCAACAATGGCTGCAAATGCCTGTGTGATGAAGTCACCCATAGGCTTACTATGGGGCATGCATTGTCAGCTGCCCTTCTCTACATTGAGGCCGCCGCTGGGACCCTATCATGTGACCGAACCAGAGCTGCTTCAATATAGGTTAGTATAAGCATCTTTTCTTTCACAGGATAGATAGAATAGCCTTAGAATGGGGTAGGAGTAGGTCTAGCCTGAGTTAAATTTTGACTGAACTTCCACTTTAAGTAATGTACAACTTAAATAAATCAGGAAGCTGAATATGCTAGAACAGGGTTTCCCAAATCTCTCCCCTGATCTTACCAAGAACACAGATTTTGGTGATTATCTACCTACGTACAGTACATGTGGGCCAATTAATGCCTCAACAATGGAGTTTGGTTACCCAATATTAACCACAAAACATTTGATGCGACTTGAAGGAAAACTACTGATATAAATATGGAGGCTTCCAATGCCAGCATGCTCCTGTTAATTTTAAAAACTTTAAAAGCAAAAACGTATCTTTTGCATACTTCTACTGGGTCAGTGTCACTGAAAGCACTAAAGCCAAAGGACTGGAATGACAGCCATGGGAGTGGAATTTGCAGAAAAGGTCAGCAACAGTTGCTCCTGTATTTCCATCAGTACAGGTTTCCTTTGAGGACAGCTTCTTAACACAAACTACCAGCATGGTTAGCTCTACAAAAAAGAAGGTAATAAATTGCCAAGTACTTTTTGTTCCCTCTCTTTTCTCTTTCTTTATTTTTGCATAACTAATCTATAGATTGCCCAGATATTACACAACCTTATTAAGAAATATATATCTCCTAGATTGTAAGCTCCAAGGAGCAGGGCCCTCCTATCCCTCTTGTATTGAACTGTATTGTTGCTGTATTGTCTCCTGTTATATTGTAAAGCGCTGAGCAAACTGTTGGCGCTATATAAATCCTGTGTAATAATGTAATAATAATATAGGAAAAATATTGCCTTACTATGGGAAAGATTATCAACAACAATACTGGTGAAGCAATGTATTTCACTATACAGCTCATTTAACCCATGCAACAGTAAAACTATAACTCTATATATTAGAACAAAACTTTGTAAAAATGTTTCCATTACTGTTTCTTCATCTATATTATTTACCCTTTGTGTATCCTTCTGGAAGTGGTGGGTCTCTATATAAGTGTTACTCAACCAGGGTGCTGCTGCGGGGTGCTATTTAAGTTCCCCCAGGGTGCTTGCAAGCATGAGACTCAGTTTGCCCTGGATTAGAGATGGGTGGGAGGATTCTGTGGTTATGAAGGACTCTGGAGGGGAGACTCTGATGTGATGGGGGATGAGAGAGATGATGTAGAGATCCACCACTTTCAGAAAAATACACAAAGAAAGCACAAAATAAAAAAAAAAAAAAAATAAAAACTTTTTACAAACTACAATAATATTTATGAGTAACGGTTTTTTGAAGCATGGGTCACATGTGCTGTGTATTATTGCTAATAATCTATAGGCAGGCATAGGTGGTTGGGCCAGGTAACTGCAAATACTTTCCATATTTAATTACAATATCGCTATGACTCTCACACTATATTGTAGATGGAAATCATCTGCACATAATCTATGCCAGTTATTCCAAATATGTTCACATATTTTATCATGAAGAATAAGGCTACCCAAAAGTCACAGAATATAGATGGAATCTTGGGATCTAGGTCATCTGTTGGCCTCTTACATTTCACCAAAGTTCCTTGCTTTGTTGGATTTGTTCTAGCTCCTCTGCTATTTTCTCCAAAATATAAATTGAAGAATTTAGCAATGAGATTGGGACCCTTAAGAGTGGAATTCCAGTCATAACTACTGCTAAACCTACTCCCATCTGCATTCTAAACCTATTCTATCTAACCTTGTAAAGAAAAGATCCCTATACTTACCTAACCTGCAACCGCTCCAGTCCAGTGCGGTCCCAGGATAAGATGTCAGCAGCTTCTGTGTGCAGAAAGGACAGCAGACAATGGTGGCCCATTGTAAGTTTATGGGTGACATCTCCCAGGTAATTCCACCGTTGTCAGCATTTTTTCCTGTACACAGAAACTGCTGTTGGAGAGCGGACCTGAGCGGCTTCAGAATAGGTAAGTAAAGTGATCTTTTCTTTACAGGGTTAGATAGAATAGGCTTAAAATGGGGGTGGGAGTAGGTTTAGCATTAGTTAGGTCAGGGGTTAAAATTTCTAGTCGAGACCTACTAGCCGGTCACAAAACTTTCTCTCCACCAGTTGCCCTACCCAACCTTGCCCAGGTCCGCCCCCAACCCCACCCCACCCCCCCCCAACTACACCCCTTAAAGCTTATGAAATTACATTTTTCTTTAGAATAAAGAGTCCAAAATATAAAATTGTACACAGTAATGTATATCCCAGCTCCCCTGTACACTATTATAGTGATATGACATGTATACAGTAATGTATATCCCAGCTCCCCTGTACTCCATTATAGTGATATGACATGTATACAGTAATGTATATCCCAGCTCCCCTGTACTCCATTATAGTGATATGACATGTATACAGTAATGTATATCCCAGCTCCCCTGTACTCCTATTATAGTGATATGACATGTATACAGTATTGTATATCCCACCTTCCCTGTACTCCATTATAGTGATATGACATGTATACAGCAATGTATATCCCACCTTCCCTGTACTCCATTATAGTGATATGACATGTATACAGTATTGTATATCCCAGCTACCCTGTACTCCATTCTAGTGATATGACATGTATATAGTAATGTATATCCCAGCTCCAATGTACTCCATTATAGTGATATGACATGTATACAGTAATGTACATCCCACCTTCCCTGTACTCCATTCTAGTGATATGACATGTATACAGTAATGTATATCCCAGCTCCCCTGTACTCCATTATAGTGATATGACATGTATACAGCAATGTATATCCCAGCTCCCCTGTACTCCATTATAGTGATATGACATGTATACAGTAATGTATATCCCAGCTCCCCTGTACTCCATTATAGTGATATGACATGTATACAGTATGTACATCCCACATTCCCTGTACTCCATTCTAGTGATATGACATGTATACAGTAATGTATATCCCAGCTCCCCTGTACTCCATTATAGTGATATGATATGTATACAGTAATGTATATCCCAGCTCCCCTGTACTCCATTATAGTGATATGACATGTATACAGTAATGTATATCCCAGCTCCCTGTACTCCATTATAGTGATATGACATGTATACAGTAATGTATATCCCAGCTCCCCTGTACTCCATTATAGTAATGTATATCCCAGCTCCCCTGTACTCCATTATAGTGATATGACATGTATACAGTATGTACATCCCACATTCCCCTGTACTCCATTATAGTGATATGACATGTATACAGTAATGTATATCCCAGCTCCCTGTACTCCATTATAGTGATATGACATGTATACAGTAATGTATATCCCAGCTCTCCTGTACTCCATTATAGTGATATGACATGTATGTAATGTATATCGCAGCTAATGTCCATTATAGTGATATGACATGTATACTGTATGTACATCCCACATTCCCTGTACTCCATTATAGTGATATGACATGTATACAGTAATGTATATCCCAGCTCCCCTGTACTCCATTATAGTGATATGACATGTATACAGTAATGTATATCCCAGCTCCTCTGTACTCCATTATAGTGATATGACATGCATACAGTAATGTATACCCCAGCTCCCCTGTACTCCATTATAGTATTATGACATGTTGTATACAGTACTTACTCCTATTTCCTCCAAGTTACGGCAGCGGTGGAGAGGGTGTCTCCTCTCAGCGGAGGAGAGCGGACCTCTCCTGCACTTGTCCCCTCGGCAGCGGTGCCGCAGAAGCCGGAAACCGGAGGTTGTAAACCGGAACTCGGCTTCACAATGAGGCTTGGAGCGCAGGTGCAGTCGCTCCATGCTTCATCTGTGCTCGCCACAAAGGAATTTCTCCTCACATTTGGCGAGCGGCTTTTTCAAGCCCTGAGTTAGGTTATGACTGGAATTCCACTTTAATAATGGCCACAGAGGTCTTGTTACTGAAGTCCTTAAAAAACAAAAGAATGGTTAGGCCTCGTTTACAAGGACATACTGAAGCGTAAACCCATGTGGTCCTGTTTGCCCGCAAGGGTGTTCTCTGTACCTAGCTACAGGCAGTCCCATTCATGTCAACCCAGACACAGCTGCTGCTCCTAATTTGACATCTGTGCGGGTGCAATACAGTCTGAGTTTGGAGACACGCACCCACACAGGCTGCAGAGGCATCTGGGCAGAGATGTTATATGTGAAAAGCAAAAACAAGTATTTTATAAAAAGAACAAAAAAGTTGTTGATGATACACAGTGCTTTAGTAAATTGAATTGCATTCAGTTAGGGCTTATATTTACTTTAAACTACAATTCTATATTATATCCTGTAGGTAGTTACCAATGTCAAATTCTTCTGGGAAACCAGACATAAATACAAGCTTTACTGAAATAATCCCACAAAACTAGTAAAAGTATTTATATTTTGAGTCAGCTGAGGCTCAAAAGTAGCTTCATGTGTTCATCAACTGTTCCATAGTTTAATACTTACTTCAAATTCCACCATCCTCTTCTCTGCCAAATCTGACTTGTTGCCAGCCAAAGCAATCACGATATTAGGACTTGCCTGACGTTGTAATTCCTTTACCCATGCCTTTGCCCGATCAAACGTTTCCTGAGTACGAGAAAGTGAATGAACACCTGAACATTGTGCATTCAGTAGAAATGATTCAAGCTCTGTATTCAGCACTATGTTATAATACTATAGTGTTTAATATACGTATAAGCAAGCTTTGCTCCTTTGCTGAATCAGATTCAAATCTGCAATGAAACTCAATTAGGAATTAAAGCTTTAAAAACTGCTTACTATGTTTCAGACTGGGCAATACCACCTGAGTAAACATTTATCTCTCAGAAACTTTAATAAATGAGGATCATCTGTCTCCAACATTACTAGTCAAGTCTCTAGACAGGCTAACGCAATGAAAAGTTTATGTTGCCCATAATTACCAAGCACATTCAAAAATATTTTTTTATGTGCAATGAATGTTAACACTGCTACAATAGTACATGTATTTGCACATCCAGTCAATCTTTGAAGGTCTATTGGGCTTCCAATTGTGTATGCTTGTCTTAAAGTGTTACTAAACCCAGGACCCTGCATTCACTATATTTGGTCCCCCACAGTACACAGAATATGCAAATGCAATTATTTTAGTAAATATAAACTGCTAAATACCTTTTTTCCTCAGCTGTATATAGCAGTCTTGTGACTTCTATCAGTGTCCAGCTGAGCACTGGTTAAAGCTTGTAGGAGGGGTTTTCATTCTGCTCTGACTATTCGATAAGGCTGCATAACCCCTGACCCTCTGTCTGGACAGTGCTGATTGGCCCTGTGCTGATCACATGCACCTTCCCAAAGAAAAAAAAAAACACTTTCTAGCAATACACACTAAACTGAGCATGTGCAGAGTGACTCCTGTACTATCAGGAGATGAATTGGGGACAGTAGAAGAGGTGGAGGATCAGAGAAGACAGGATCAAATAGCCTTTTTAAAAAATGTGGAGGATTAACCCCTTAGGGTATAAGTATAACAAGCATGCTTTACTGCATATACAGACTGATTTTACTGTTGTGGGTTTAGTAACACTTTAAGCTAACCATTATTACATTGCAAAAAGAAAAATAAAGAGGTCTGTGTCAGTTTCAATAAACAAAAATAAAATTTACCGTACTTCAAGCAGAATCAAAGCCCTCAACTGTTGCTTACAGTGGGGCTGCACCTGCACTGCAAGGCTTAATAGCTTGTTTTGTCTAGGGGAGAGGAGAAGCAGTTTTACTTACCTGATCCTTCACTCTCCCGACAGATAGAGGCCCACCATGTTCCAGTGGTGGACTGTCCCTCTGCATCATCACATCCGGTGCACCCTGTTTTGGTCTCAATAAAATCAGGACCCTAGACCACTGAAGTGTGGGAAAGAAGAAACTGCATGGACCAGACTACCTGTGGGGAGGAGTGGAGGATTGGGCAAGCAAATCTTTTTGTTCCTATAGACCAGGGGTCCCTAAACTTTCTAAACAAAGGGACAGTTTACCACTTTACAGGGGCCGGACTGTGGCCAGTAAGAGTAGAAAATGTTCCAGTATCAGTGGGAGTAAACAACATCAAATCTTTAGTGGGAAGAAAAGTGCCCCATCATTGATGTCAGTGGAAAGAATAGTGCCCCCTCATTGGTGCAAGTAGGAGAAATCGTTCCCCATCATTGGTGTCAGTGGGAGGAATAGTGCCCCCTCATTGGTGCAGGTGGGAAGAATAGTGCCCCACCATTGGTGCAAGTGGGAGGAATAATGCCCCACCATTGGTGCAAGTGGGAGGAATAGTGCCCCATCATTGGTGCAAGTGGGAGGAATAGTGCCCCATCATTGGTGCAAGTGGGAGGAATAGTGCCCCATCATTGGTGCAAGTGGGAGGAATAGTGCCCCATCATTGGTGCAAGTGGGAGGAATAGTGCCCCATCATTGGTGCAAGTGAATAGTGCCCCATCAGTGCAAGTGGGAGGAATAGTGCCCCATCATTGGTGCAAGTGGGAGGAATAGTGCCCCATCATTGGTGCAAGTGGGAGGAATAGTGCCCCATCATTGGTGCAAGTAGGAGGAATAGTGCCCCATCATTGGTGCAAGTGGGAGGAATAGTGTCCCATCATTGGTGCAAGTGGGAAGAATAGTGCCCCATCATTGGTGCAAGTGGGAGGAATAGTGCCCTAGCATTGGTGTCAGTGGGAGGAATAGTGCCCCATCATTGTGTCAGTGGGAGGAATAGTGCCCCATCATTGGTGTCAGTGGGAGGAATAGTGCCCCATCATTGGTGTCAGTGGGAGGAATAGTGCCCCATCATTGGTGTCAGTGGGAGGAATAGTGCCCCATCATTGGTGTCAGTGGGAGGAATAGTGCCCCATCATTGGTGTCAGTGGGAGGAATAGTGCTCCATCATTGGTGCAAGTGGGAGGAATAGTGCCCCATTGTTGGTGTCGGTGGGATGAATAGTGCCCCATCATTGGTGCAAGTGGGAGGAATAGTGCCCCATCATTGGTGCAAGTGGGAGGAATAGTGCCCCATCATTGGTGCAAGTGGGAGGAATAGTGCCCCATCATTGGTGCAAGTGGGAGGAATAGTGCCCCATTGTTGGTGTCAGTAGGAGGAATAGTGCCCCAAGGGCCAGATAAAGGCAAGCAAAGGACTGCATCCGGCTCCGGGCCACAGTTTGGAGGCCACCGCTTCACACCAAAACAAGCAATTAACCCTTGAAATGCATACACAGCCCCACTGAAAGACATAGTTTTTTTTAAGTTGCCCGGAGTTGAGCTTTAAACTAAGGTGGGGGTGGTTAGTATTTGGCATAATGTGCAATTATACACAGCATACCTGCACAATATGACACACTTACCGCTGGGTGTGCTCTTCTCCCAGCAATGATGCTGAACCCCCCTGTCAGAACAGTAATGCACAGTGGGAGAGATTCCTGCATCCACATCGCTTGTGCTGATGTGCAGATCTATCAGGCTTTTTTGTTCAACCTTCCAGTGAAGCGAAAAAAAAAAAAAAAAAACCCCAGCTCAACAGTTTCAACAACAGCAGCTGGTGAAAACTGGAAATGCACAGTTGGTGGAAGAACCATCAATTTTATGGTACACACAGAGATCTGATGGTTATTTTATGGAAAAAAAGGTACAAGAAATTGTGCTATACATACTGTATGTGATCTCCAGGGATGAACAGTATATCATGAACAGAGTATAAATAGCTGGCTGCAGTAACCACAAAGAAAAAAGGAAGCTCGCCGAATGTTACAGCCTGGAAACTTGTAAAATGATAAGTGACCAAAGTGACCGTGATCAAACATGTTGAAATATGTGGTCAGAAAGTGAATAGTAATTTAGACATCTGCCTTTGTGCAGGTATGTTAGGAGACTACACACACACTAAATTGAAGGACCATCTAAAATTGCTCTGTCACTGGCAAAAAAACAAGATAAAAAAAAAAAAAAAAAAAAAAAACATGCTAATGACCATGAATGTGTGCAGACAGAGTGTAGGCCGAAGACTATAAAGAAAGTAATATGCACTTACCGGGTTTGGTGATGTCAAATACCACAATGGCAGCCTGAGCTCCTCTATAGTACATGGGGGCAAGGCTGTGATATCGTTCCTGTCCTGCAGTGTCCCAGATCTCAAATTTTACAGTTGTATCATCCAGACACACAGACTGAGCCAAGAAGGCAGCTATAGGGAAAGGGACAATTAAAGGACAGATTAATTCATCGTAACATATAAACAACAAGTGGTAAAAGCCCACGTCCAGCTGAACCCCCCCTTATCTTGGATAGAATCGAAAGAGGGTAGAACCTCAGAATTTTATTGCCATCTGGGTCTCCGTTGAGGAACTTTCCTCACACTTCCTGTCTCTTGAACTGGTAAGAAGAAATGATCTAGAGATCAATAAAATATAGGTTTTGGTAGAGGCTGAACTTTAAGGTCTGGGTGGAATTGGACTTTAAGGAAACCCAACGATACAGCTGGTTGTATGAGAGATAAACTTCTGTACAACCAGCTTGCACATGGATAAAGCAAAATTTGCCTATCCCTGCTGAACTGGCTGAAGGCAAATATTCGCTTCATCAGTGACACTGGCTCTTACTGGAGGTGCGGATGAGTGTATTCTGATGGAGGGGAAGCCTCCCTGCTGTCAGAATACAATAGCAAAGTGGGAGGGTTTCCTTTATCCCCTTTGAATGTGTGGATGGGGGAATAGATTCATTTTCTTTCCTTCAACCCACCAGTTAAACAAAAGAAAGTGAATCTTGCATGGCCTGCCTTACTTACACACTTTAGTCAACTTAAAGTGGTTGCAAACCCTTACATATACCCAGTGAAGTAACTAGATTCAGGTGATATACAGAGGTGAAACACATCTTCCTACATAAGTCGTACCTGTTTATTTGCAGCCATATGTCCTGTACAGCCTTGTAAAAAAAACTCAAAGATGAAAAAGATTTTTCACAGACTCACAAAGCAGGGGGTGGAGAGCTGCAGCAACATGCTATACAAAAGCTCCTAGAGCGGATTGCAGGAAAGGGACACACCCCCTTCACACAGAAACAGCTGAGGCTGTCAATCAGCTGAAAGTCCCACCCTGTCACCTTTTTTCTCTTGGTGTCAAGAAAACAGCAGAGAGAAATGACATTTAGTGATTAGGTCATCCCCTGCAGCTATCACCTTTTGTATCACTTCCCCCTTCCTTTAGATTGTAAGCTCCACGACCAGGGCCCTCCTATCCCTTCTGTACTGAAAGTATTGTAATTGTATGGTCTCCCTTATATTGTAAAGTGCTGCGCAAACTGTTGGCGCTATATAAATCCTGCATAATAATAATAGTGCTTTGGAGAGAGGGAAGTAAACACTGTAAAAATATTTGCTCTGTTCATATTTCATGTCAGAGGTTTATAACCACTAAAAATTCAGTTAGGCTAAAATTAAGTTTCAGACCAGACTAATTATTTTTAGAAGTGTTTGAAATCCTTGGCTAAATCAGCAATTATGAAATTATTCTTATGCTGATGGGTATACTTGGGTGAAACAGATGACATAATCACCTTATTTCTGACATACATATACAGTACACGTACACTGTAGTTAATCAGATAGCGTCTAAAAATGCAGGAAAAAAAGTATTTTTAAAAACTTAACCCAATTTTTTAAAAATACTATAAAATTCTGCCGGAACTGGACAAAGACATGCTACAGCAGTTGATTATTAGGTGAAAAAATTTAACCAATTAAAAAACTCCTACTGTGTGATACAAATATCTAATCCAGGAGGTGCTTAGCAGCTCAGTATGAGGACATTACTAATATACCAACATTTTCACAACCCAGAGGACATTTTTCTACTGTGCTCTCATTTGAGGCAGTCTATTGGGCCCCATGTGATGGTCTGCTTGATTGTTAGGGCTCGTTCACACTTGGCTGTTTTGCCAACGCAATCGCTGGTCCGGCGTTTGCGGAGCGTTTTTTAATGCTCGGCAAACGTGCCGCAAACACCGCATGCGCGGTTTAGCAACGGTTGCTAGGCATTTGCCGAGCGTTAATAACGCCCCACAAACGCCTATATTGCAGTTTGAGTGGTGTTACCGCTCCGCAAATGCATTACTGTGTCCAGTCAAACAATAAGGAACTGCATTACCAGACACAATTGTTATTTCAGTTATGAGTAGACTAAAGGCTAACAGCTACAGCATCTTTCCAGTGTTTACGATTTCTCTGCCAGCCATTGAACCTCCCTATCCTGCAGCAGTAGAAGCAAGACCAGAGTTTTGTTTTTCTTTTTACTCTGAATACCCTGAAACATATTTGTGGTTTCCATAAAAGAAGCTACAAACATTTTTATACCAAGTGCCTACATGCAGTGATACCTATCTTGCACAGTTTCTGGTTTATGTTTCAAACCAGAGAAGCATTAGGGTAGAAAGCAGAGATCGGTCTCTTCCTGACTGCTATGATGTATGCCCTTTTTTGCTCTCCTCATCCTCTACAGCGCACATTACACACTGCAACCAACAAAACAGTGCGGAGGCAGGAGGGGGCTCTCAAATAGAGGTCCATTTATTTGATCTCATTTAGTTTGTAAGTTAAGGTGGTACCTGCACTATGATGTACACATCGAGTTTCTGTGAGGCTACATGAGTGTAGCTTTAAAGCTGTATGCTGGGTATAATCTTTATTCCATAGTTGCATTGGTCCAGCTTGGACCAATATAAATTAGTGCTGCTTCAAAATGAAAATTCTGTTGCCGAAACCAAAAATTCAAAATGCAAAAACTGAAACCTAAATGCGCAGTTTTTAAAAAGGAATATATATTTTTTGAAAGAAAATACACTTTGATTAAAAAAAACTGCGATACTTAAAAATCTCTGACATTCGTGGCGATACCTCACGTGTGGTTTGAACACCATTTACATATGTGGGCATGGCCTACATATGCATTCACCACTATGTGCGAGCACAGGGGGATGGGGGCACTTTAAACTTTTTTTTTTTAATTTGTTTTTTGGGGGTTTTTTTCTTTTTGCACTGTCCCTTTAAAAAATGTTTTAATCACTTTTATTCTTATCACAATAAATGCATGCATCCCTTCTGATAGAAATAATTAGTGACAGGTCCTCTTTATGAAGAAATATGGGGTCAATAAGACCCCACATCTCTCCTCTGCAATGTAAAGCATTGGATCAAAAAAAGCATTGATCTAGTGCTTTTAAAATAAAAAATAAATAAAAAATATATAGCCAGAACTAGAAGTGACATCGCTCCGGTCCTCTTAGGGCATAGAGATGAGTGGAGGCTATCTTTTCTTTACTTATCTCTATGCCCAGCATCGGGATCGTTCGATGGTTTTGCAGATAAGATGAGAACTACCAAGCGGCAGCTGGTGGCGGCAGCGACGGCGGGGTTTTTTTCAGCACCTGTATCAGTGCTTTTTTTTTCCATTTCGGCCTACGGCCGAAAGGGGTGTTTTCGGCCGAAACGTTTCACCCACCAAAATTTCAGTGCATCCCTAATATAAATATGCATTTCTCCTACCTGAGGGACAGCTGGGGAAGTAGACCATCACTATAGTAGTTGGTGCTAAAACAATGAAATCAGCCATCTGGACGAAGTGGACATCATAAATTCCCTGCCTTCCTCTTCACATCATCCAATCCAAGAATGCCTTCCATTTACAAGGTGTTCTGTGATTGATGGCAATGCTGAGCAATTTCCTCTGGACAGCGTGCAGAGGGGAAGTCGCTTGGCACAGGACCTGATCATGGCCATCACTGTAGTATTACCGACTGCTACAGTGATAGTCAATTTAACCAGTGATTCCTCAGGTAGCAGATATGCAGAATACAGATAAACACTGTTACGGCAAATAATACACAAATTACAGCTTAGTAAAACAAACCCTTTACCCTGTTCTTTTTTGCCAACAGGTTTTAAATAACTGGTTTGTAGTCTGCGGGTGGAGTCCTAGGTTTGTGTCAGGGATATAATAAGTGAATGAGACTGGGATCAAGTCATTAAAACATCCCATGTAATAGTTGAGTCAGTGGACACAACCGGAATCTCAAGTGAGAAATACAAGAAGCTACCTGCTGTTTTGACATACAAGATCTCAAAACACAATGCTGAATTATTCCTTTTAGATGATTGGCCCCAAAGTGGAAGAGTACTATGCAATCTTATAACCAGTTACTAGATGGAATAATATTTTATTAGTCATTACAATTGTAAGAAAGAAGGCTGCTCACGTCTTGCACAATAAGCAGTAACAGCATCACCCGCTGCCCATGTCTGCAATCAGGAAACCTGCCAAGCTTATTTCTGGCTGGAAACATGTGATGTTTTGCAACAGCGGTGATGGCTGGTCTAGCATTTCCCACGATACCTTGCTGATGACAGGGTAAAAGGAGCTTCAGGAAAACAAGTACAGTTATGGTTCAAAGCTTTAGAAAGGTACTCTAATGAAAGCAAAAACTTTTCTACAGTTCTGAACAGCAAACTTGCTTAGATCACCACATATAACCTATAAAGGGGTTGTAAAGGTAGAAGGTTTTTTACCTTAATGTGTTTTCTGCATTAAAATAAAAAAAATCTTTAATAGTAGTCCCCCCAAATACTTTCCAGAGCCCAATCTCGATCCAGCACTGTGCACAACTGCAGCAGATCTTCACCCCTCTCCCTGATCTCACAGGCTTGACTGCTGCTGTCAGTCCAAACCTGTGAGCAAAGGGCAGGGGTATGGGGCCAAGCGGAACTGTGTATCTGAATAGATGCAAAAGAAGCCTGCACAAGTGCCCTCCATAGGAAGCAGCTTTCTATAGGAGAACTCAGTTGGGGGAAGAAGCCAGAACCACTGGCGACGGAACCCAGAAGAGGAGAATAGGGGCTGCCCTGTGCAAAACCATCGCACAGACCAGGTAAACATGACAGGCTTATTATTTTAGTGAAAAAAAATGTAAAGCTTTACAATCACTTTAACATTTTATATTGAGGGTTCCAAGGATGTAAGGGATACTATGTGTTTCATAATGTAACTAAAAAACATTGACTCTATCTGCTGTCACAGTTCAATATTACAAGAATCAATATATAAAAAAATATATATACAGTCATGGCCGAAATTGTTGGCACCCTTGATATTTTTCCTGAAAATCAAGTATTTCACACAAAAAAGGTATTGCATTAACACATGTTTTGCTATACACATGTTTATTCCCTTTGTATGTATTGGAACAAATATAAAACAGAGGCAGAAAAGCAAATATGACATAATGTCACACAAAACCCCAAAAATGGGCTGGACAAAAGTATTGGCACCCTTAACTTAATATTTGGTTGCACACCCTTTGGAAAACATAACTGAAATCAGTCGCTTCCTATAACCATCAATAAGCTTCTGACACCTCTCACCCGGAATTTTGGACCACTCTTCCTTTGCAAACAGCTCCAGGTCTCTCTTATTGGAAGGACACCTTTTCCCCCAACAGCAATTTTAAGATCTCTCCACAGGTGTTCAATGGGATTTAGATCTGGGCTCATTGCTGGCCACTTCAGAACTCTCCAGCGCTTCTTTGCCATCCATTTCTGAGTGCTTTTTGACGTATGTTTGGGGTCATTGTCCTGCTGGAAGACCCAGGATCTTGGACGCAAACCCAGCTTTCTGACACTGGGCCCTACAGTGCGACCCAAAATCCTTTGGTAATCCTCAGATTTCATGATGCCTTGCACACAGTCAAGGCACCCAGTGCCAGAGGCAGCAAAACAACCCCAAAACATCATTGAACCTCCACCATATTTTACCGTAGGTACTGTGTTTTGTTCTTTGTAGGCCTCATTCCGTTTTCGGTAAACAGTAGAATGATGTGCTTTACCGAAAAGCTCTATCTTGGTCTCATCTGTCCACAAGACGTTTTCCCAGAAGGCTTTTGGCTTACTCAAGTACATTTTGGCAAACTGTAGTCTTGCTTTTTTATGTCTCTGTGTCAGCAGTGGGGTCCTCCTGGGTCTCCTGCCATAGCGTTTCATTTCATTTAAATGTCGACGGATAGTTCGCGCTGACACTGATGCTCCCTGAGCCTGCAGGACAGCTTGAATGTCTTTGGAACATGTTTGGGGCTGCTTATCCACCATCCGGACTATTCTGCGTTGCAATCTTTCATCAATTTTCCTCATCCGTCCACGACCAGGGAGATTAGCTACAGTGCCATGGGTTGCAAACTTCTTGATAATGTTGCGCACTGTGGACAAAGGCAAATCTAGTTCTCTGGAGATGGACTTGTAACCTTGAGATTGTTGATATTTTGCCACAATTTTGGTTCTCAGGTCCTCAGACAGTTCTCGTCTCCTCTTTCTGTTGTCCATGCTTAGTGTGGCACAGACAGACACACAATGCAAAGGTTAAGTGAACGTCTCTCCTTTTTATCTGCTTTCAGGTGTGATTTCTATATTGCCCACACCTGTTACTTGCCCCAGGTGAGTTTACAGGAGCATCACATGCTTGTAACATTCTTATTTATCCGCAGTTGTGAAAGGGTGCCAATACTTTTGTCCAGCCCATTTTTGGAGGTTTGTGTGACATTATGTCGAATTTGCTTTCTTTCCTCCCTTTTTTTGTTTTGTCCCAATACACACAAAGGGAATAAACATGTGTATAGCAAAACATGTGTTAATGCAATACGTTTCGTGAGAAATACATGATTTCCTGGAGAAATATCAAGGGTGCCAACAATTTCGGCCATGACTGTATAATAATATGTAAAAGTTAACTTGCTCTATGTACAGGCTTTTACCTTATCCCACTGCAAAGACCTTTAAACCATTTAAAACTGTTACTTAACATGCTTATGTTTCGAATAACCCTCTTCAATCAAGTCCAGTAAGAGCCATGGGAGTATTGATTATGATCTACTCATACAGTGGCATTTTTACTGAAAAATATAAGCAATATAAAGCACGGTGTGGGGCCAGGAGCACTGGCGAGGGACCCGAGAAGAGGAGAATCGGGGCTGCTCTGTGCAAAACTACTGCACAGGGCAGGAAAGTATGACATGTTTATTTAAAAAAAAAAAAAAAAAAAAAAAAAAAAAAAACCAAGCCTTTAGTATCATTTTTTTTTTTTGCCACAAAGCTGACAGTTTTTTTATTGGATTAAGAAAATGTGTTTCAACAAGTTCTTTATTGAATAAACTTTAAAGAAACACACAATTATAAGTGTACATATTATGTTCAATTACACAGGTATAGGTGCATCTTCAAAAAAAAAAAAAAAAAAAAAAAAGAAAGAAAAATACAAATCTTCCCAAGGTGAGGATGTTAGACACCATTGCATCCTTTGTAGAGATAGGTATCCTAGCTCATTGTGCTATCGCAAAAATATCCCCGTATTTAAGTGCATGGATTGTAGAACTGGGAATCTAGCTTAAAAATTAAAGAAAGGACAGAGAAGAAAGACAAAAAACAAAATGAAGGTAAGAAAAGCAGGGCAAAGGGTTAGGGCTGAGTCAGATCGGGTCCCCACGCATAGACCAAAAAACAAGTAGCCAAGTTTGAAAGGTTAAAGTGTTACTAAACCCAGGACCCTGCATTCACTATATCTGTTCTCCCACAGTACACTCAACATGGAAGTGCAATTATTTTAGTAAATATAAACTGCTAAATACCTTTTCTCATCAGCATTTGGAGCAGTCTTGTGACTTCTATCAGTGTCCAGTCAAGCACTGGTTAAAGCTTGTAAGAGGAGTATTCATTTTGCTCTAGGAGGATGCAGGACCCCTGACCGCTGTCTGCACAGTGTTGATTGGCCCTGTGCTGAACACATGCACCCTCCCAAGAAAAATAAAATAAAAAAACCCTCTAGTAATATACACTAAACTGAGCATGTGCAGAGGGACGCCACACAATATATCTTATCAGGAGATAAGAGAGGGGGGCACGGGAAGAAGGGGAGGATCAGAGAAGTGAGGATCAAACAGTGTTTTTACACAAGGCAGAATATTTACCACTTAGATCCCACAGTGAGTATAACAAGCATGCTTTACAGCATATACAGACTGATTTTACAGTTGTGGGTTTAGTAACACTTTAAATTGACTTACTGGGCCACTGGCATTTCTTTCTAAAGAACTATCTACCCAAAGGCTCCAGATTTTTTTTTTTTTAAGTTTATTGTGTAAACCAGCAGAAAGGTACCATTTTCAGCTGGTCCAGTCTGCTTGTCACATGTGGCTCACTTGCAGGAAGGAAACAAATGGCTAATCTGACTCTGGAGCAACAGCATAGATGTATCTTTAACAGTGCTAGGGCAAGTGTGTCACATCCCCTTGTCCCTCTCTATGTTAGATGCAGAGCAGCACGCTGCCTCAGGAAGACATTAAAAGGATTCCTACAAGAAAGATTGTGGGTAAGAATACAGTGCGGAGGGTCAGTAGAGAGCAGTAATATTTCCCTATGTGGTCCCTGCATTCTGCAACCGAACGGTAGTGTCACTGTGATCATGTGTGATTGTCCTCTGCACGGCACTCTCTGCACTGAACTTAAAGCGGAGCTCCACCCAAAAGGGGACGTTCCACTTTAAGGACTGGTCCCCCACTCCCTGTTAAGGATTGGAACCTTTGGGGAGCAGGGGGGAGCGGGTACCCGAAACTGACAGGTACCCGCTTCTACTTTCGCTGTGATCGCCTAGGCGATCGAATGCAAAAGTTGTCCTCTTCCCCCCTCCCCGTAGTCTTCTGGGACACATGACAGGTCCCAGAAGACTATGAACAGAATGCATGAAGGTAAAAAACCTGGAGCCTTTACAACCATTTTAATATATTATATAATTTATTTATATATATTTTTTTTTGGGGGGGGGGATCTGTTGGGTTTTCAAAGAAACATCTCTGGCCCAATTATATAGTGTGAAACACACTAGAACTTCCTTTAACTGTTCTTTTAATTGTGAAATGTATTGTTATGTTTAAAAAAATAACAGAAAAGCACCAATAGCATTGTGCATGGTACAGTATCCTTCATTCCTGTGAATATGGCTTCAGGTGGTATTACACCCAAAACCAAAAATGTAATATACTGTATTTCAGCTTACCAAGCATTAGATGCGGTGGCTGCATTCGTTTTGTTTTTTGGGTTTAAGAATTTTTTCCCCTCTGTTTTCACCTGATGATCTGGCTAGCAACACATATCCTATATTAGGGTGCCTCCACTTTGGACAAAGGAGTAACAGAGACACCTTTCAACAACAGCACTGTTAATCTGGGGGGAGGGAAGAGTTAGATGTACTAGAAGACTTAAATACACTAACAAACTGAAGCCAAACTCCAGCTCAAGTTATTTAAGCAGTTACAGTAACAGCTTTTTCCTTTTCCTATGCTTTACATAGATTACTAAAAGCGGACTATAGTAAGAACCACTGTGAAATGGTTTGTTTCAACCCTCTGTTTCATCTAAAGCACAGTTTGTTCTGTTGAAAATCAACAGACCTACTGGCCAGATCACAGGGTGAAAATAAAGGGGAAAAAAAGCATAAAAAAAGAAAACGAATGCAGACAGCACATCGAAGGATTGGTTAGCTGCAATATATTAAAATGCTTGTTTTTTGGTTTAATATTATGTTCTGCTCACAAAATGGCCTGTGTTGTATGTGGGCAAAACCCAGATTTTAACCACCATTAAAGACAAAAATCATTAAGTGCTTCTTACCTCCTATAGTGGTTTCTTGAAATTCATCAAACTGACCCTTGACGAACCGTAATACGAGACTGGACTTGCCCACTGCCATGTCTCCAAGTAGCACAAGCTTGAACTGGCATATCTTTGTCTGGCCTACTCCATTAGCCCTTGAGCTTCCCCTGCTGGCCATGGCGTCCTCCGTTTCCTGCCTTCCGACCCCTTCACACCTCCAAAAAATGGGATTCTTTAATCCAGTTATGTGAAACCCAAATTAACCTTTAAATACAAATCTGTTGAGAAAAAAAAATAAAATGCAGATTATCTTTTTATTCCACACTCAATACAAATCAGACAAACGAACAAGCATAGGGAACGGATACGACTATGCTATCAGATATGCAAGGTTAAACATGAACAAAGGCAAAACCTGATGTGTTTTAAAGGAAAGCAACTAAAACAACTTCAGTTCCACTACAAAGATAGCATCTGGTCAAACCAAAAGCTGTGCGCCAATTAGTAGTAGTACTAGTAGTAGTTGTAAAACAATGTAACATGTAAAAAAAAATATAAAATAAAAAAGTACTCATACAGTACTAGACAGACAAAAAAAAACATAAAAACTGTAAACAAAACAAAATAATTTGAATTACATATCTGAAAAGGAGTGGGAAGAAGCACCAGCCTGTTTAATCCCACCTCTTCTCCATAATTAATAATAATAACATTAATTAGCTTCCCATCAGTATAAAGTTCTACAATAATAATTCTAATATTATGCCAATTACTAATAATGTTGCTATACAATCAAACATACAGACACATTTTCACACACACAGGTGCATCTCAATAAATTAGAATATCATCAAAAAGTTAATTAATTTCAGTAATTCAATTAAAAAAATTAAACTTGTGTTATATAGATTCATTGCACACACAGTGATACATTTCATGCATTTCTTTTAATTTTGATTATTAAGGCTTACAGCTGGTGAAAACCAAAAATTCAATATCTCAGAAAATTTGAATATTATAAAAAAAGTTCAATATTGTAGACTCATGGGGGTTAATTTACTAAAACTAGAAAGTGCAAAACCTGGTGCAGCTCTGCATAGAAACCAATCAGCTTCCAGGGTTTTTTGTCAAATCTTAACTGAATATGCTGAAGATTGGCTACTATGCACAGCTGCACCAGATTTTGCACTCTCCAATTTTAGTAAACCAACCCTATGGTGTCATACTTTAATCAGCTAATGAACTCAAAACACCTGTAAAGGTTTCCGAGTCTTTAAATGGTCTCTCAGTCTAGTTCAGTAGGTTACACAATCATGGGGAAGACTGCTCACTTGACAGAAGACAGTCATTGACACAATCCACAAGGAGGGTAAGTCACAAAAGGTCATTGCTAAAGAAGCTGGCTGTTCACAGAGTGCTGTATCCAAGCATATTAATGGAAAGTTGAGCGGAAGGAAAAAGTGTGGTAGAAACAAAGGTGCACAAGCAACAGGGATAACCACAGCCTTGACAGGATTGTGACGCAAAAGGTCATTCAAGAATTTGGGGAAGATTCACAAGGAGTGGACTACGGCTGGTGTCATTGATTCAAGAGCCACAACACAGAGATGTATCCAGGACATGGGCTACAACTACTGCATTCCTTGTGTCAAGTCACTGTTGAACCAGAGAAAAAGTTGGAAGCGTCTTACCTGGGCAAAGGAGAAAAAGACTGGACTGTTGCTTAGTGGTCCAAAGTCCTCTTTTCAGATTAAAGTAAATTTTGCAATTAATTTGGAAATCAAAGTCCCAGTGCCTGGAGGAAGAGTGGAGAGGCACAGAATCAAAGTTGCATGAGGTTCAGCATGAAGTTTTCACAGTCAATGATTTGGGGAGCCATGTCATCTGCATGTGTAGGTTCACTGTTTTTTTTATCAATTCCAAAGCCAGCTCAGCCCTCTACTAGGAAATTCTAGAGCCCTTCATGCTTCCCTCTCCTGACCAGCATTATTGAGACGCTGATTTCATTTTCCAAAAGGACTTGGCACCTGCCCACACTGTCAAAAGTACCAATACCTGGTTTAATGATCATGGTATCACTGTGCTAGACTGGCCAGCAAATTTGCCAAACTTAAACCCCATAGAGAATCTGTGGGGTATTGTCAAGAAGAAGATGAGAGACACCAGACTGAACAATGCAGACAAGCTGAAGGCCGCTATCAAAGCAACTTCCATAACACCTAAGCAGTGCCATAAGCTGATTGCCTCCATGCCACATTGATGCAGTAATTTGTGCAAAAAGAGCCACGACCAAGTTTTGAGTGCATACTATACTGTACATGGACATACTTTTCAGCAAGCCAACAATTCTGTATTAAAAATCCTTTTTTTATTGGTCTTATGTAATATTCGAATATCCTGAGTTACTGAATTTTGGGGTTTAACTAGCTGTAAGCCATAATTATCAAAATTAAAAGAAGGAAATGCTTGAAAGATATTACTCTGTGTGTATTGAGATGCACCTCTATATGCATATATACATGTACATACTGTACACACCCAGACAAAACTAAAGATAAAACAGAAAAATAACTCAATATACATAAATAGGCAGACAGTAAACACACAGTAGTGATTCAAACATCTTCATTCTTGTACCTTGTAAAAATCATCTCTTTATACCTTTTTTTCTTTTCTTTAAACTGGTTTATGCTTGGACATTTCTTGAAGTTTACATTAAAACTGTTCCACAGTCCGCACAGCCAGAGTCTTAAAATCAAATGTTCCCCTTAGGTTATAGCCCCCCCTCCCTTTCAATTAATAATCAGAATATTTCCTGGTAGTAAATTGTTTTTTTTTGCCTTAAATATTATTTGTGCTATTATTTGTGCTCTCTCTATTATTTTAGGAGTGTTAACTATAAGAATGAGAAGTTTGTGTGATCCCTATATTCTGCCCCATAAATGATGCGTATTGCCTTCTTTTGCAGTGTGTTAATCAATATAGTTTAGTTATATAATTATTGCCCCAAACCTTTGCACAATAATTAGGATATGGAAGAACCATTGAACAGTATAAACCTATGTGCATTATAGAGACCGCACGCATACATTTTAAGGCTCTAGCTTACAAATACAGTCAGAAAGATCTTCCATTAGGGTGCTCCATCTATATTATTTTGGTTCATGCTCCCTACAGGCTTATAATGTTGCAACTGAGACTAGCAGAGGGTTTTTTGGTCCCTGTTGGCCCATCACACAACCTTAACCACTTGCCCTCCTGAGGATTTACCACCCTTCCTGACCAGGACATAATTTGCGTTATGGCGCTGCGTTATTTTAACTGACAATTGCACAGTCATGCAACGCTGCACCCAAATTAAATGTAGGTCCTTTTTTTCCCCACAAATTGAGCTTTCTTTTGGTGGTATTTGATTGCCTGTGTTTATTTTTTTTTTTTGATTGCCTGTGTGCTGTCGCACTTTGAATGACATTGTGCAGTCATGCAACATTGCACCCATGTGAAATTTTTATCATTTTTTGTGCACAAATAAAGATTGATTTTGTTGGTATTTAATCGCCACTGTGTGTTTTATATTTTGCGCTATAAAAAAAAAAAATGCAAAAAAATGTAAGAAAAAAGTTTTTCTTTGTTTCTATTATAAAATTTTGCAAACAGGTATATTTTCTATATTTTCCTTCACTGATGTGCATTGATGAGGCTTCACTGATAGGCATCACTGATGGGCACTGATAGGCAGCACTTATGAGCTAGCACTGATGATGCAGCAATGATGGGCACTGATAGGCGGCACTGACTGGCAGCACTGCTGAACACGGACGGGTGGCACTGATGTGCATAGACGGGCACTGATGGGTGGCACTGATCTTCACGGCACTGATCAGCAGTGCAGATCTGTTTTCTGACAATTGCTGGTTATCGGCAGTACTTTCCTCACACTGTGACAGCAGACAACCGGCAACTGCATTTACCCAGTGATCTGCTGTGTCATTGGACACAGCTGATCACATGGTAAAAGGCCGCTGTGATTGGCCTTTTACCACATCACGTGATCAGCTGTATCCGTAGGACACAGCCATCACAAAGATAGCCAGGTGTGCCCCGCTGGGGGCGCACAGGAGGGCGTGCTCTGGGAGGACGTCATTCGTCTATAGCCAGGTTGTCAAGTGGTTAAACATGTCCAGTAAAAAAAAAAAAAAAAGAAAAAATCTAATTTCGTCATAAGTTTAGGCCAAAATGTATTATGCTACATGTCTTTGCTAAAAAAAAATCCCAATACATGTAAATTAATTGGTTTACGTGAAAGTTATAGCGTTTACAAATGGCGATATAGATACTGGAATTTTTTTTTATTTTTACTAGTAATGGCGGCGATCAGCAACTTTTAGCAGGACTGCGGCGGGCATTCTGACACTGAACTGACTTTGTGTCACTGACATCCCCAGTGACCACTAGGTAGCAAATAAAGTCAGCAGGTTTCTAAAGCACCAATTCATGCAATTTTATGAATATCTCTATCAAGGCTCTCTGTAGTTTTGCTATGCCCACAGTGTCTAAACACAACAGTAAAAAACAGTAATAGAAATGTCTCACAGAAAGAGTTGGTATTGGAGATTTGATTGCTGCTGTTTAACATTCTCCATCCCCAGGCATTCTTGTTTCAGCAGCACAAATATGATAGTACTGTAGACACTAAAATGATATTCTCTGTACCGGAACTCACAACACACAAGGTTTGTCTATAAATAGCCCATTTTGCTCTCCCTTTCCTTTTATACTGGTGCTATAGCAGACAACAAAAATGCCAGAAAAAAAAAAAAAAAAAAAACCCTTTGACACCAAGTACTGCGTACTCTACAAGAACATAAAAGTCGAACAGTAAGCTCTTGCAGACAAGAATGGTCAAATTCAATATGTTATTAAGGTAAGCAGCATGAAATAAAATTCAGCAAAAATAAAGAGAGCCTCCATCTGTAAACGGTCCTTCTAAACGAGACTGCTTATAGTACAACTAAAGGCAATTTTTTGTTTTTTTAGTTTTGGATAGAGTGGAGGTGGATTAGAACATCTGTCAGGTTTTATTGCGGTCTGCGCCCCCGCTAAGAAGATTCACCCTCTCTATTTGTCCTGTTTACCATTAAAAGTAAAAGAAAATCCCAAATTTTGGGTTGTCCTCAG